TCACTACAGTATTTAAAGGGATAGTTTCCCCACAAATGCAAATTCTGTCATAATTTACTCACCCTCAAGTCATTTAAAACCTATATGACTTTCATTTTTCTGTACAGCTCAATAGTAGATATTCTAAAGAATTTTTTAACTGAAATTCATGACTTCATATAATGAAAGTCCAACATAATTGGACCCCCCTTTGGTGGAGACGCATTTGGAGTCTCATACGGACAAAAAAACACTGAGACACTTTTTCAGAATATTTTTTTATGTGCCACAGAAAAAATAAAGCCATACAGATTTGGAACGACACTAGAGTAAGTAAATGATGACAGAATTTTCAAATTCTGCCATGGTGCTTAGCTCTCCAGTTGTTTTAATGTTTTTGTTAGTTTTTCCTGTCTTTTGTTTATCAAATACAATCAGTTTCACCAGGGCTGAACTGCTGAACATTCGGCAAAACACACCACGCAATCTTCTACTGGTTTTCAATTATTCGGATGTTTAGCTGAACACTGTAGTTGGCGGAACTGCGGTGATGATCAAAAGCTTTAGGAAGTGCAAATGGGGGAAGCGAGCCAGCGTGCTCGTGAAGCTCAGACAGCGCGGATTTCGAACGGCACTACCTAGCTTACATCTGGCGGATCTCTGCTCTCTAACCAACAAAACAGACAAACTTCTTCTGCTCTCCCGGAAAAGTAATGCTGCTCTGTGTTTCACTGAAACCTGGCTGAATCATGCCATTCCGGACAGCGGGTTAAGTCTGCTGGGCTTCCAGCTGTTCAGAGCGTATTGTGACGCAGAATCAGCGGGGAAATCGCGTGGCGGCGGGACATGATTCTACATCAATTAAAGGTGGTGTACAGATGTAACAGCATTGAAGAAGTTGTGCTGTCCCGATCTAGAAGCGCTCTTCATCAGCTGTAAGCCTTTCTACTCACTGCAGGAGTTTTCCTAGTTCATTCTCATAAGTGTCTACATTCCACCACAAGCGCACGTGAGCTCGGCTTTGCAAAAACTCGCAGATCAGATCACAGACAACAACACCTGGACTTTGTTATAATCATTCTAGGTGACTTTAATAAAGCAAATCTCTCCCGTGAACTGGCAGAATACAGACAGCACGTTACATGTCCCACCGGAGACAGTAATATATTGGATCACTGTTACATCACAATAAAGGATGCATATCGCTCTGTCCCATGGGCAGCTTTGGGGCTTTCCAAACACTGTTTGGTTCATCTTATACCAACCTACCCACCTGCACTTCAGGTCAGCGAAGATGATGTGCATCAGGTCTTCCAGAAGCAGAAAAGACGGAAAGCACCAGGCCCAGACGGTGTCACACCAGCCTGTCTGAAAACTTGTGCTGGCCCACATCTTTTCACAGACCTTCAACAGATCACTGGAGTTGTGTGATGTCCCTGCCTGCTTCAAATGCTCCACCATAATCTCCTTCCCAAAGAAACCCAAGATAACCGGACTTAATGACTACAGATCTGTTGCTTTAACTTCATGAAATCATTTGAAAGACTGGTGTTGGCTTATCTGAAGGACATCACTGGACCCTTACTGGACCCCCTGCAGTTTGCTTACTGAGCAAACAGGTCCATGGATGATGCAGTCGACATGGGACTGCACTTCATCCTGCAGCATCTGGACAAAACAGGGACTTATGCAAGGATCCTGTTTGTGGACTTCAGTTCGGCCTTCAATACCTTCATACCAACACTCCTCCAGACCAAACTAACCCAGCTCTCGGTCCCTAGCTCTATCTGTCAGTGGATCACCAGCCTTCTGACAGATAGGCAACATCTAGAAATAATTGCTAGAAAGCCGCACCATCAGCACTGGCGCACCCCAGGGATGTGTACTCTCGCCACAGCTCTTCTCTCTGTACACAGATGACTGCACCTCTACTGACCCCTCTGTCAAACTCCTTAAGTTTGCAGACGACACCACACTTATCGGCGTCATCCAGTATGGTGACGAGTCTTTACAGACAAGAGGTTGAGCGGCTGTCTGTCTGGTGCAGTCTGAACAATCTGGAGCTGAACACGCTCAAAACAGTGGAGATGATCGTGGACTTCAGCAGAAACCCCTCTGCACACACCCCCTCACCATCATGGACAGCACTGTAACAACAGTGGAGTCAGTCAGGTTCCTGGGCACCACCATCTCTCTGGACCTGAAGTGGGACATTCACATTGACTCCATTGTCAAGTAGGCCCAGCAGAGGCTGTACTTCTTTCACCAGCTGAGGAAGTTTGCACTTCAATAACTGTCTGGTTCAGCTCGGCTACCAATACTGACCTTAAAGGATGGCAGCGGTTAGTCCGGACTGCTGAGCGAATCACTGGTACAACCCTCCCCACCCTCCAAGAACTGTACTCATCCAGAGTGAGCAAAAGGGCTGGCAAAATCATTCTGGACCCCTTACACCCAGCACACTTCCTCTTCGAACTGCTGCCATCTGGTTGGCACTACAGAGCACTGAGCACCAAAACAGTCAGACATAGGAAAAGCTTCTTCCCTCAGGCCATCTACCTCACAAACAGTTAAATGTCTCCCCCACTGTGCAATAAAACATGTGCAATACCCACTATCCATACCTATATTTATTTTACATATGTTCTTGATTTAACATATATTACATCTATCCAAATTCCCTTGCATAATAGGGTCTTTCGCACCGCGGGAACCTTTTCATAGTACCAGAACTAATTGTGGAACTACCCACTTTTTGTCTTTTTCGCACCGCCGGAACTGGGTGTGATTTTAGTACCGGACTGCCTTTTTCGAGAACCAAATTAGCTCCTACTCCGGAGCAGGGTCTAACCAGCACAACTGGTACTAATCGTGACGTAAGTAGACACTGATTGGCCAAACACGTATGAAAACGCCCTCACCCGCCATGATTTAAAACGCTGTGTAAACATAGTGTCAACTTATTTCGCAAGTATGGAGAACAGCGATAGATGGATGGACGCTGAAGTGCAGGCACTTGTAGCAAATGTAGCACTGCCAGTTGTCGTTGGAGATTCTTAGCCCTCCTTTACGTATACATCGAAATTCCATGTCCATTATTGTGAAACCTGCGAGACACAACAAAAACACAGCTCCGATCACAGCATCCTCCATCCTCCTGTTGTTAACGTTGTTTTTCTTTGTTTCTGTTGTTGAACACCACGCACAAATGACGTCGCTGTCGACCGGCTAACGTCACTTCTTAGTACATACTCTCGGTGCGAATGCAACCCTTTAAATGGTACTGGGAAATAGTTCACGCAAAATCGTCCCAGTACTTTAGTACTGTACATTTAGTTCTGGAACTAAAGGGGTGCGAAAGGCCCTAATTTGTATATAGCACACCTGTACATACAATTATTGTCTATTGACTTGTTGTCTATTGTGTATTGTTTTTTGTGTATTTATTTTTAATCACTTGTTTATTTTGTTATCTGTGTTTTGTCACTTGTCATCTGTGCACTGGAAGCCTCTGTGACCAAGACAAATTCCTAGTGTGTGTAAGCACACTTGGCAGTAAAGCTCTTTCTGATTCTGATTTATCGATTTATTTATTTATTTATTTATTTTTGTTTTTTTAGTTAATTTCAATTTGGGAAACTTACTTTTTACTTACTTCATTGTTATTTTAGAAGCAATTCAGTAGAAGCAGTCGAGTAGCAGAAGAGGACCGTGGTAAACACATGCTCAAGTCATATTTGTTCTCGTGCGTATCGCTTGGCTTTGCAGTTTTGGTTTAATATGTAGTAAGGCGTGGCCAAAGCCAGGTATAATTTACCTTGTTTGCAAGTACTTGTTAGAAGAAGCAGTTGAGTAGCAGAAGAAGACAGCAGTCTGTAAGTGTTTTGTATCTTTTCTCATTAGATTTTAGCACAGTTGTCATTGCTAGGACACATTGTTTTGTTTACTGTGTTTACCGTGGTAAACAAGTGCTCAAGTCGCATTTGTTCTCGTGCGTATCGCGTGGCTTTGCAATTTCGGTTTAATAAGTAGTAAGGCATGGCCAGCTGTATTCAATTATGTGGAATCAGGAAGGTATATATTTGCTCAGTACACCGCGGCAGCGGTCACGGCAGCCCTCCTGTGAATATCCTCCTTGTGTGAAGACCGACGAGTGTAAAGACCATCGACTCTACCTGCGCGACTCCACTGAACAAGGACACCGACAAGGCACCTGAGTATTTCTTATTTTCCCTTTCTTTACTTTTTTGTATAACTTGTTCTCATCTACTTGTTCTAGTTAATTGTACTCAATATGTGCTTCCAAATCTCTACTATGACTACTAACACTTGTAAATCACGCACTGTACGTTGGAGGCAACGCAATCCCCTAATAATCTGCGAACTGTCCCTATGTCCCCTCTACTACTTTACTCTCTATTCCAATTGGTCTCTGGAACTGCCAGTCTGCTTTAAACAAAGCAGACTTTCTTTTATCTATTTCTACTCATTCAAGTCTCAGCCTCATGGCCCTAACTGAGACTTGGATCAATCCTGAGGACACTGCCACTTCTGCAGCCCTCTTCACTAATTTCACTTTTTCCCACACGCCATGCCCGGTTGGGAGGGGTGGAGGGATGGGTCTACTTATTTCAAAAGAATGGAAATTTGATAGTCTACCATCTCTTACTGGCAACAGTTCATTTGAAGCATACGCAATTACAATTACCCACTCTGTTACAATCCATTTTGTAGTTATTTATTGTCCCCCAGGTCAACTGGGTAACTTCTTAGATGAGTTTGGATGTGTTACTCTCAAAATTCCCTGAGGACGGTACTCCTCTGGTACTACTCGGGGACTTCAACATACACCTAGATACACCACAGGCTGCTGACTTCAACACTCTGCTTGCCTCATTTGACCTCATGTCTACTACAGCTACTCACAAATCAGGTAACCAATTGGACCTTATCTACACATGCTACTGCTCAACAGACAACACTTTAGTTATGCCGTTGCACACCTCAGACCACTTCCTCATCACTTCTAACCTCACACTGACTCCGGACACAATGCACACTCCTCCACAGGTCACCTTTTGGCGTAATCTACGCTCATTCTCTCCCACTCGCCTATCCTCTATGATTTCATCCTCACTTCCTCCACCCTTTCAGTTTTCAGCACTGGACACAAACACTGCTACTGACATTCTTTGCTCCACTCTAACATCTTGCTTGACAACCTTTTCCCCCTTTCAACCCGCCTAGATACACCACAGGCTGCTGACTTCAACACTCTGCTTGCCTCATTTGACCTCAAGCCCGTGTCTACTACAGCTACTCACAAATCAGGTAACCAATTGGACCTTATCTACACATGCTACTGCTCAACAGACAACACTTTAGTTATGCCGTTGCACACCTCAGACCACTTCCTCATCACTTCTAACCTCACACTGACTCCGGACACAATGCACACTCCTCCACAGGTCACCTTTTGGCGTAATCTACGCTCGTTCTCTCCCACTCGCCTATCCTCTATGATTTCATCCTCACTTCCTCCACCCTTTTAGTTTTCAGCACTGGACACAAACACTGCTACTGACATTCTTTGCTCCACTCTAACATCTTGCTTAGACAACTTTTTCCCCCTTTCAACCAGACCAGCACGCATCACCTCCTCTGCCCCCTGGCTGTCTGATATTCTCCGGGAACATCGCCCTAGACTCAGGGCTGCAGAGAGGAAGTGGCGCAAATCAAAAAACTCTACTGACCTTATTGTATATCAGTCACTCCTGTCCTCCTTCTCTGCAAGTGTCTCCACTGCTAAAACATCATACTACCACAACAAAATGAACAACTGTTCTGACTCTCGCATGCTTTTCAAAACCTTTTCTTCTATTCTTTGTCCCCCTCCACCCCCTCCTTCATCAACTCATATTGCTGATGACTTTGCAATATTCTTCATAAATAAAACAAGAACCATTAGCGACCAATTCTCCACACCACAAACTGACAAAAACTTCATAACCATAAATACTCATTCTCTCTCCTCCTTCTCTCCACTCTCGGAGGCATACATTTCTAAACTTATCCTTTCCAATCATCCTACTACCTGTCCACTTGATTCTATCCCCACTCACTTCTTTCAGGCCATTTATTCCCGGCTAGTTAGACCCGCGTTCACTCACATTATCAACACCTCTCTTAATTTCCCCAAAAAATTCAAGCAGGCTTGGGTAACCCCAATGCTTAAGAAACCCTCTCTAAATCCAGCACTTTTAGAAAACTACAAAGACAATTGCAAAGACAATTGCAAAGGCAATTGAGTGAGTTGTTTTCAACCATCTCTCTATGTTTCTTGCACAGAACAACCTCATGGACAGCAACCAGTCTGGCGTCAAAAGTGGCCACTCAACTGAGACTGCACTGCTCTCGGTTACTGAAGCCCTGAGACTGGCAAGAGCAGCTTCCAAATCCTCAGTACTCATCTTGCTGGATCTGTCTGCTGCTTTTGACACAGTTCACCACCAGATCCTCCTGTCCACCCTCATGAAGATGGGCATCTCAGGAACCGCACTCCAGGGGTTCAAGTCTTACCTCTCTGGTAGGTCCTTCAGGGTGTCTTGGAGGGGTGAGGTTTCTAAGTCACAACTTCTTGCTACTGGGGTTCCTCAAGGCTCAGTGCTTGGACCACTTCTTTTCTCCATCTACATGTCATCTTTAGGATTCGTCATTCAGAAGCATGGCTTTTCCTATCATTGCTATGCTGATGACACTCAACTCTACTTCTCATTCCAACCAGATGATCCGACAGTAGCTGTTCGCATTGCAGCCTGTCTGACAGACATTTCTGGCTGGATGAAGGATCATCACCTTCAACTCAACCTTGCTAAGACAGAATTGCTCATGATCTCAGCCAACCCAGCACTTCATAACAACCTCTCTATACAGCTAGGTTTGTCAACCATAACTTCTTCCAGCACAGCCAGGAACCTTGGAGTTGTGATGGATGATCAGTTAACCTGTTAACCTGCTCCCCCCCATTTTGGGACTCACATCTGAAAATTACCTACCTAACTTAAAATGGTAACAGTTCCTGACCATAGTTCCTGGTATCTTTGGAAAGAAGACACTTTAGGCTTTACTATCCATCATCCAGAGTTGATAATGCTTAAAAATATAAAAAGTTATAGACACTGAAGTGCCTTGAAATAAATTGTACCACACTGAATGTTTTTTTTTTTAATTTTATGTACAAATACATGCAATCAGTCCTTGAGCAATCCAGAAAAGTAATGGGTTGAAAGGCCATAACTTCTTCCAGCACAGCCAGGAACCTTGGAGTTGTGATGGATGATCAGTTAACCTGTTAACCTGCTCCCCCCCATTTTGGGACTCACATCTGAAAATTACCTACCTAACTTAAAATGGTAACAGTTCCTGACAATAGTTCCTGGTATCTTTGGAAAGAAAACACTTTAGGCTTTACTATCCATCATCCAGAGTTGATAATGCTTAAAAATATAAAAAGTTATAGACACTGAAGTTTCTTGAAATAAATTGTACCACACTGAATGTTTTTTTTTTTAATTTTATGTACAAATACATGCAATCAGTCCTTGAGCAATCCAGAAAAGTAATGGGTTGAAAGGGACATGTCTCATGAGTTTATATTTCAAATTTGAAGAAGATACCATGAAAAATGAGATTCCTG